GGTCATGTTGGGGGACTTTTGGCAGCTGCCTGGGCCGCAAAAGAACGCGACCAAGGTCTCGGACAGCGCGGCCTGGGCGCACGTCAAGCGGCTGGAGTTCACCGGCAACCACCGCTGTCACGATCCAAAACTTGCGAAGAAGCTGGCGGCGCTGCGGACGGCTGTCCCCTCCAAGCGTCTGCTTGGCAAAATCGCCGACGCCAGCCACCGCGCGTGGCAGACCGCGGAGCCAACGGCTTGGGACATCCTGAATCTTGACCGGCGCCTGAAGGGCCAAACTACTGTCATCACTTGCAGTCGTCGAGCCGCGCAGCTGGTCAACGAGCTCTACATGGAGGTCCTCTTCGAACATCGCCACAAGCAGCCTCTTGCGGAGGGCCTGCCGACAGACTGGGAGACAAACGCGGCCAACTACGACGACAAGGGCCAACTCAAGAAAGAGACGCCGCTCGAGGCCGCAAAGCTGGACATCTACAAGGGCCAACGGCTATTTCTGACGAAGAACATGAACAAGGAGGCGGGCTTCGTCAACGGCATGGCCTGCACGGTGGAGGACTTTGACAAGTCGAGCGGCTGCCTCCAAGTTCTGACGAAAACGGGGGCACGCCTGGCTGTCTCAATGATCTACGAGCGAGTGGAGGGTCGAGGCCTTGTCAAACATTTCCCGATCCGTCTTGGCTACGCCAGCACAGTGCACCGCATTCAAGGCCAAACACTGGATCACGCGACAATCTGGCTTGACATTCCAGGGTGCAGGGCAGCTGGCTACGTTGCCTTGTCAAGAGTCCGGGAGGACGGGGACTACCTCATCGCAGGGCCAGTGAGTGTGAACCATTTCACCCCGGCCATGTAGAGTAGCAGATCGAAGCGAGCGAGCGAAAAAAAAAGTGAAGACGAGCTAGACTTACGACATTGTCTAACAGCAAACGGAAACAAACGATCGCGGCGTCTCAGCAAGTCAGGGTAGGACAGAGGTCAGTGTGTCTGTCAAGCAATTTTCTGCAAACCCGCATGTTTGCCAGGACAAAGAAGCGCTTGTTGCGATGGAAAGCACGCATCAAGCTGTCTTTTTTTGTTCAAAGCATGGCCGTCTGTCCTGCAGAGTCCGCCTCCCGGGACAGAGCGAGTCTGTCTTCCAGCCTAGAAACATTTTCTGAAAAACGGCCATCGGCCTTGATAAAATGGCCATGTGCCGGCGGCGGCCATCGGCCTTGACAAAGTAGCCACCGACAGCTGTAGGAAGGTGTTGCAAGAAACCTGCCCTGGAAAGCACGCATCAAGCTGTTTTTTTGTTCAGAGAATGGCTGTCTGTCCTGCAGAGTCCGCCTCCCGGGACAGAGCGAGTCTGTCTTCCAGCAGGGGAGCTTTCTCAAAGCTCCTTGCAAGCTTTTGTTGCTTTTGATCGTTTGACAAAATGGCAATTGAGCTTGGCCGGCCTTGAGAAAAACGGCCATCGGCCTTGATAAAATGGCCATGTGCCATCGGCGGCCATCAGCCTTGACAAAGTAGCCATCGACAGCTGTAGGAAGGCGGCCCCCACCAAAAAATGTCCGTGGCTTTAGGGTATTATCCTATAGAGCTTCGCTCAAGGGCGCCTTCACGGGCGGCGCCCACATGTGTCCCCTGGATGCCTTGCCGGGGGGCCGCAAGCTTTGGCGCAGGCTCACGCCGATCAAGCTGTATAGCGGCCAGCGGGAGGCTTCACCCTCCCGCAAGGGTTCTACCGTCAGATCAGACAGTGTGGGCTCTCACAGCTCAGCTGCTCGGCCGCTGCCTGGTCTCGGCAGCTGCCGCTCGGCCGGCGCTGTGTAGCGCGAAAGCCGTCCTCGCTGAGTTTAGGGTTTAGGGTTTAGGGTTTAGGGTTTAGGGTTTAGGGTTTAGGGTTTAGGGTTTAGGGCGTGACAGATGAGGGCGCTCGCTCGGGGATAAATTCCCCCTAGCCGCTCGCTCCGCGTCGCCACGTGGTTCCCACCCTGGACCCAACCCAGACTCAGACTCTTTTAGGGTTTAGGGTTCAACAAGCAAACCCTCGAGGCTACAGCTTTCTTTGCGCGCAACGCCGAGAGGACGAAGAACGGCGAGGGGCGGGGGCGGAGCCGGGCAGCGCGAGGCGAGCGAAGCGCAGGCGAGCGCGGGACCGGTCCCCGCGCCCGAGCCGCGGGGCGCGAGAGGACGGCGAGCAGCCACTCAACAATTTTTCGTGTTCGAAGAGAAAAGTTTTATCTTCTGGTTTAGATCAGCTGTCCAGAGGCGACGAGAGCCAGATTCCGATCCGGGGTCGCTTTCGCCCGCTCGACCGCGTCGAAAGCAAACGAGCCGGGGTCGGCTTCGCTTGCTCGATCGTGTCGAGAGCGAGCGAGAGCCGCTGGCATTTTTCCGGGCGCGAGCCAGATTCCGCTCCGGGGTCGCTTTCGCCCGCTCGACCGCGTCGAAAGCAAACGAGAACCGCTGCCCGCTCAGATCGGCCAACCCGGACGGCTTCGCCCTTCAAGGCGCCCCCGGGGCAGAAATCCCGAAAGAGAAGCGGGCCTCCGTTTAAAAGCTGCTTCAGAAGAAGCGCCCCCCCCCCGAGCCGGGGTCGGTTTTGCTCGCTCGATCGTGTCGAGAGCAAGCGAGAACCGATGGCATTTGTCCGGGCGCGAGCCAGATTCCGCTCTGGGGTCGCTTTCGCCCGCTCGCGTCGAAAGCAAACGAGAACCGGCGCCCGCTCAGATCGTTAATATTTTGCAGATCTCTAGACATTTCAGCCGCGGATATTCGCACAACCTAATAAAAGAATTTGTCAGCGGCCGGGTCAGGCCACTTTCGGCCAAGAGCGGCCCAATGACCGTTTTATCAACAAAGAAGTTATCAGCGGGGGGCCAAGCCGTTTCTGGTAAAAAGCGGCCCAAGGCCAGCTCCATTAGATTCAAGCTACGGCGGCCTTTTCCATAGCGACCCCACACAAAGATATTCTCAGCGGCCGGGCCAGGCCACTTTTAGCGAATAGCGGCCCAGTGACCGTTTTATCCAAGGCCAGCTCCAACGGCCGTTTTCTCAAGGCCAAGGCAGCCGAATGGCAATCCCTAGATCGGATTCCATATGATCACACAATGAAGGCCGGGCCAGGCCACTTTTGGCAAAAAGCGGCCCAATGGCCGTTGTGTCACGGTCAGCTGCGATGTCCGTTTTATCAAAGCCGAAGCAGCAAAATGGCCAATTTCCTTGGGCCGTTGTAGCAAGGCCAGTCCCACTGGCCATCAAGGGAGGCCTAATGCCGGTTTGCCAATTTTGGTAAAGATTTAGCTCTCAGAAAACTATTTTGCCAGCTAAATGTTTTCGGCGACCTCGCTGGCGACCTTTCTATTAACGTAGAAGTGCGGCTGCTCCGTCAGGGCCAAGGCAGCCGAAGTACCAGATCCACGGATGGCCGATTCCGCATGATCCCACGCAAAGAAATTATCAGCGGCCGGGCCAACGCGAAGGCCAAAGCAGCAGAATTGCCAGATCCTTAGATTCGGGCTGCGGATGGCCGATTTCATATTGTCCCGTATAATGAGTTTATCAGCGGCCAAGCAAAGCTTTTGTTTCACCAAGCGCTGGCGAAGCGAATGGCCGCTTTATCAAGACCGGCCAGCCGCAGTGGCCGTTTTATCAAAGCCGATGGCCGTTTTATCAAGGCCGGCAAGCCTCAATGGCAGTTTTATCAGGCCAGTTGCCCGTTTTATCAACCAGAAGCGGCCAAATGGCCGGATCTATTAAATTTGAGCCACGGATTGCCGACTCCATACGATCCCACGCAGAGAAATTATCGCTTCTGGCCGAAAGCGGCCCAATGGCCGTTTTATCAAAGCCAGCTCCGATGGCCGTTTTATCAAGGCCAGCCCCAATGGCCGAATGGCTAGTTTATCAAGGCCGGTTGGCAAATTTTAGCTAAGATTTAGCTCTCGGAAAGCTACTTTGCTAGCTAAAATGCTTTGCGGACCAACGTTGGACTTGGAGCGACGCCGCCGGCAAACGTCTCCGGCTTTAGGGTATTACCTTTCTACTAACGTAGAAGTGGCGTGCTTGCCGGGCACGCTTCACCATGGAGCCTCGCTTTGCGGTATGGCTTAGGCCCTACTCTTTGGCGTCCGTTCCAGGCCCAGCGGGAGGCTTAACCCTCCCGCCCTGCTTTGCTTCTACGTCAAGCGAACGCGTAAGGCCGCTCGCAGCTGAGCTGCTCGGGCGGCTGCCTGGTCTCGGCATCCACCGCTCGGGCTCTGCTTCAAGCGCTCCATCGAGCCCTCGCTAAGTTTAGGGTTTAGGGTTTAGGGTTTAGGGTTTAGGGTTTAGGGTTTAGGGTTTAGGGTTTAGGGTTTAGGGTTTAGGGTTTATGTGAAAATTTGTAAACCATGTTTGACATGTCTCTTCACTGGCATTGTGACAACTAGGAGTTCTCACGACAGCGGAGTTGCAGACGGTTTCCAAGTGTTGGCATGTGTTTGAGTTTCCTTGATTGGCTTGACTTGCAGTTGTGCCATTTGACTTTGGTGCTTGTGGACGCATGGGACAGATTGATGACTGTCGCCATTTGTTGGCTCAAGGATCGGCACGCATCAACAGACTTCAGGTGGGTCAGGAGTTTAGGCCCTTGGTCCCCTTGTTGCGAAACTTTCACGGCATTGCTGACCTCACGTAGCATCTCTCGTTTTGTGTTCGGCTGTGCTTCGCTTGCGGTAGTGTACAGATCATTGCGACCACCTCGCGGTGCATGGAAAGAGCCCAATACTGATAAGAATCCTGGATTGAGTTTTGACAGATATCTGTGGATATTGGTTTTGCAATTGGAGTACAATATATCCTGGTGAGTTGGATTCATATTCGGTTGCAATTTGCATTGTCAGAGGACTTCAGTCTGGACGACATTGTTTGAGGAGTTTGGCAGATATTTGCATATCGGTGGAGCCTGAGATTCCTTGTGGCGGTGTCGAGTTTTTTCATGGTAGCGGAGCTACGTTCGGTCCGGGAACGTAGCAGATATGTCGGATGCACAAGGTGGCAGCAGCGGTGACGGCGGAAATGTTCCAAGGCTATTTGGTGGAGTTGGAGTTGATGTGAATCAGCTGTTTGAGGATGCTACATCGGGAGATCCACAGGAAAGCAGCCGGGCGGGTGTGCAGTTGGGTCCTGGTGGGCAGCAAGCAGGTTCAAGTGCTCAGTCGGTATCTGGTGGGCAGCAGGCTGGCGCAGGTATCGATGTGGCACAACTGGTTGAGAGTTTCCAACAGCAGTCTCAACGCATGGCCCAGGTCTTGGAGCAGCTATCAGCAAGGATGACGCAGAACGAGACGGAGATGCAGAACCGGTTAGATGCGATTACAGCGCAACTTGCACAACGGCAGGCAAATCAGCAGAACGTTCAACCTCCAGCGCCGCCGATGGCGCAGGCTACGGTGAACGCGCAGGGTCAGGGTGCGTTTTGGGGTCCTCCACAACAAGCTCAGAATCCTGGTTGGGGAGTGCCTCCAGCTGGTCCTGGTTTGGGTACAGAAGGCGCAGCACCGACTGTGCCGGCGCAGGAACCTCCTGGCGGTGGTGGAGCTCAAGGATCAGCAGGAAATTTTCCAGCGGAAGGCAAGATGCCTTTTGGAGTGGACCTTCCAGTTGCAGATCATCAGAAGTGGAAAGGACGTGCTTCGGAGTTGAACGGGTATCGGGTCTGGGTCGAGAAATTTGCAAGTTGGCTTTGCCTCATGAGCGAGAACTACATGCTAGAGCTTAGAGAGGCGTTGCAGTCAAGGCGTGTCATTGAAGTTTCCTGGTTGACCCGGGATCAGCAGGTACGGAGTTGCCGGCTGCTGAACTTCTTGAAGCAGGCTTTGAATGGGCATAGCAAGTCCGATCATGTGATTTCGCACTATGTTTCTACAGTTACTGAAGGAAATGCGCATGGCTACGAAGCTTTCAGGCGGGTGCATCAGGAATTCTCTCTTCAGTCGCGTGCTGAGGCCATCGGGTATCGCAATAGCATCATGGGTTTTCAGACCAAGGAGAGTAGATTGGTTGACATTGTTCGTGCAGTTGAGTCGGAGCTTCATCGCTTTGACACCATGATCCGCGGGTGCCCTCTGGACGTGGGAGACCTTCAGATTCAGGAAGCAGACAAGTATTTGCTTTTGATGCGGAATTTACCAGAACACGTTCGATTGCATTGCCAACTTCATTGCTTGGGCAACACTCTGGATGCTCTTTCTCAGGCAGTCACGAACTATGACCTCAACACGAGGGTCATGGGGGACGTGGATGTGCGTTTGCATGGTCTGAAAGGGAATTCCAAAGGGAATTCTAAGGACAAAGGAAAAGGGAAGAGCTCCGGGAATCCTCAGAAGGGGAAGAAGGGCGACGCTCAGCAGAAAGGAAAAGGAAAGTCAGAAGGCAAAGGAAAGGGCGGCAAGGACGATTCCAACAGGCGCTCTAACAGCCAAGGATCTGGGAAAGGGAAAGGCGTCGTGTGCTGGAACTGTGGACGGTCAGGACATGTTTCGAAGGACTGTCAGCAGAAGAAGTCTGACGATCGAGGCGCTACATTGGGGCCGTGCTGGAAGTGTGGACAGAAGGGACATGCGAAAAAGGATTGCAAAGTCCGAGGTTTTGTCGACTCTGAAGCTGAGCCCAATGAAGAGGACAACCTCGATGATCCTGGTTCCCTGATGACGCTCAGTCACCAGTTCGTGACGTCTTCTTCGGTGAATTCGGTGAGTTCAGGCGAGACTGTGTACAGATCCTCAGAGTGTACAGATCCCGCAGGACGTGGCTTGTCGACAGTGGAGCCACAAGTCACATCATAGGGAGGCAGCATTTGCAGTGTTACACGGTTGTTCATGAATATGAAGATGTTCGTTGTGAACTCCGGGCTGCAAACAACTCCTTGATCGAAACCTATGGGGTCGTTGACGTGAGGGTCCGTTTCAAGGGTGACAATGGGCGTGCCAAGCAAAGGGTCCTGTCCAAATGCATCGTTGCAGACATTCCTTTCAATGTCATGTCGCCTTATGTGCTTGTTCACAACGGTTGGGAGTGTGTTCTTAGTGATGGCAGGCGGTCCTTTTTGCGGTTTTCAGTTCCTGGTGGGACTGATGTTGAGATTCCGTTGCATGTGAAGGAGCGTGCTTGGCGGGCACAGGCGGTGGTTGAAGGTCCGGAGAAACCCTCCAAGAAAGGGAAGGGTCGTGGCTCTCAAGCCATGGATGTTGATGAAGGTCGGACCTTTAAGAAGCCAGACAAGGAGGGCAGTGATCCCGAGTCTGGGTTGGTTGCGACGGTTGATCAGAGACGTGTCGAGCTTGGGTCGTTGTCTTTCTTGTTGCGTGGTTTTGAATCAACGGTTCACCAAGTGAGTGAAGAGTTTTTGGAGTGTGAAGATCTGAGAGCTGAGGGAGCTGTCAGGGATTCCAATCTTCCGGAGGAAGATCATGAGCTTCCCCCCTTTGGGGAGGAACCGGTGGATGAGGCAGTTTCCGGTGATGCTGAGTTGGGTGAGGTTGATGTTGAGTTGCAGAAGTATGAGCATCTTGCTCGAGGGCATCAGCCGTATTTGAGTTCGTGTTCTACTTGCGCTCGTGCCAAGGGAAAGATTCCTGCGAGGAAGTTGGTTCACAAGCGGGGCGCCTACGAGGTCGCTTCGGATTACGGGTTCCTGGGCACGGCCCGGTTCTTCGTGATGATTGTGCTGTGCACGGGCATGATTGGGACTTTTGTCATGGACACGGACATGGACAAGAATGTTCGGTCGTTGAACAACGTCTTTCGGGAGGTTGGTTTGGTTGGGAAGAGCTTGGAGGTGACTCTGGATGGAGAAGGTCATCTACGAGGACTGTTTCAGAGAGCGGTCAGACAAACAAACTGCCCTGTGAGTGGAGTCAGTTTTGTTCCTACCCCTCCAGGTCGCCATCAGACCAACGGAAAGGCAGAACGAGCTATTGAGACTATCAAGTCTGGATTAGGAGCGAACCTTTTGTTTCTTGAGGAAAGGATTCAACGCAAGATTCCATTCACGAGTGAGCTTATTCGGCATTTGCTTCCTTATGTGGGAAGGACTCACAACATGTTCCACCTGCCTCAGGGAAGCGAGAACAGTGCTGTGGATCGCATGAAGGGGAGGTCAAACACCCGAAAGATTTCCACTTTCCCTTTTGGTTGCAGGGTGCTGGCCAAACCAACCCCTTCGACGGCTGCCCATCAGGAAAGTCCTCTTGAGCGTTTGGTTGAGGTTGCCTATCTTGGACCTTGGTCATGTACGGGGGGCGGTCTTTTGGGGATCCCAACAGCACGTCGTCAGTTTGAGCTTGAAGCTGGTTCAAGTAGGGAGGTTCGGAGATTTCAGACATGCCGGGTCGTTTCGCCATGTGAGTGGAGTGCTGCAGATCTGGTACTGATTGATGTGGGAGACATGCCGGGAGATTCCATTCCACGGCCAGTTCTTCAGGGTCCATCGGAGATCTATGATCCGGAGGAGCCGATTGATCCCGGTCGAGATGGAGAAGTTCAAGCCCCAGCAGGTGGAGCTCCTATTGGCTGGATCAGGCAGGAAGGAGCAACACCGGGGTGCTATGCTTGCAATCAGATTGTCAAAGAAAACAAGTCACATGGCCGTGTTCATTCAAAGGCTTGCAGAGAGCGTTATCAGAAGTGGCTGGATGCGCAGCATCGGAAAGCGCAGGGCGGAGGTGGTCAGTCTTCTGGGTCTGTTCCTGAGGTAATTGCGCCTCCAGTGCTTCCAGATGTACGGCCATCAGCAGAGCCTTCGCAACCAGTTTCTGTTGAAATGGATGTCGAGGAGGGTGAGTTCTCCGGTGAGCCTCAACCGGCATCTGTTCCTATGGATGTGGACAATTTGATCACAGATGAGATTTCAGCAGCAAGGGATCGGTTTCTTGCGATGGAGCAGTCGACAAGAGGTGGCGAGTGGAGACCTATGGTTTTCAACGAGCAGACAATTTTCCAGCAGATTGCGCCTCAGACTCGGTGTGAGTCAAGTGGGGTCATCCTGGATCCAAACAAGGTGGCTGAGTCGTATCAGACGGAGTACACTGAGCTATCCAAACTTGGAGTGGGAGAGCAAATTTCAGAGAAGCAGGCGCACGAGATTTCAGACAAAGCTGGGACGAAGATATTATCTTCGAGATGGGTCGTGGTTCTCAAGACCACAGGCCGGGTGAGGGCCCGTGTGGTGTGTCGGGACTACAAGTCTGCAGGTCTGACAGCGTTTCGGGAAGACATCAGCTCGCCGACGGCAAGCCTTGAGAGTCTCCGGTTGATGCTGGGTTCGGCGTACTACAGCAGAGGGTTGTTGGTTACACTGGACATTTCGACCGCGTTCCTGTATGCAGAGTTGGATGGGCCGGCTCAGGTGGTTTTGCTGCCAGCGTCGGTGGTGGACAAGGAGTGGAGACGCATTTTCGTTTTGTTGCGGAAGGCGCTTTACGGGCTGCGGAGAGCTCCACTTGCTTGGGCGAAGACCTTGAGGAAGTTCATGCTTGAAGTTTTGGGCTTCGAGGGAACGAGCGATCCTTCAATCTTCAGGAAGCCAGGTGAAGATGACGGTTGGGTCACTCTTGTTCTCATTTATGTGGATGACTTGTTGCTGTGTGGACCACCGGAGGTCGTGGACATGGTGGTGAAGCGGCTGGCAGAGTATTACAAAATCAGGGAGACTGGTCGTTTAGTTCCCACAGATACGGAAGGACAGTTGGAATTTCTGGGAAGAATTGTGCGTCGGCATGTTCCTTATGGTCCTATTTCACTGTCACTTCCGGCAATGTATTGGGATGGGATTGAGCGAGCGGCAGGTTTTCTGGTGAAGTCCGTGGAGGTCAGTCCAGATCTCAGCAAGTTTGTGGTCAAAGATGAAGCGAGCTCGGCGGTGCTAGGCAAGACAGAGTCGGAGTTGTATCGCTCGGTTCTCGGGAAGCTTGCGTGGTATTCGCTGACTCTTCCAATCCTGAGCTATCACATCAGTTGGTTGTCGTCGTACATGCAGTCGCCAACTACTACAGCTATGACTGGTTTGAAGGCAGTGCTTCGGTTTGCAAAGTCCTTTCGCGGATGGGGGCAGGTGATCCCATCTCCTGATGGCTGGATGGGCGAAGAGGACACGCTGCAGGTCGTTGTTGATGCAAGCTGGCATGAGAAGTCAACCGCTGGTGGCATACTGTTTTATCGGGGTACGGCCTTGAAGGCGTGGAGCAGAAGGATTGGGACGGTTTGTCTCAGCTCAGCGGAAGCAGAGCTTCATGCGTTGGTGGAAGGGCTCAAAGAGGCTTTGGGGTCGTCAATCCTGTGCGAAACAGTCAGGTATGGTCTTCCGGCGAGTGATGGGGATACCGCTGAATGGAGGACTGATTCCTCTTTCAAGATCCTCATCTACACTGACTCAGAAGCAGCGGTACACATTTCGGGGATGCAGGGACTCTTGCGGAGGGTCAGGCATCTTCAGTTGAGAGTGATGATGCTGCAACAAGCAGTTGAGGATGGTCGGGCAGAGGTGCAGTACATTACGGGCAGGAGCAACCCTGCAGATGTGCTGACAAAATCTCCTGACAAGGCTCACTTGCCTATCTTCTTGCAAGCGTTTGGTCTGTGTCAGTGCGATCCGGCGATCAAGCAAGCCGAGATTGAGATGACAGAAGGGTTGGATGGTTTCCATCTGTCAAGAGGGAATCGTTTCACGGTTGAAGCTTGCCTCAGCAGAATGGCGGCAAGTTCTTGCAAGGATAGATGGCGCCTTGAAAAAGGGTGGATTGAGCGCATTCATGAGAGGCCCTCGATTCGCTTTGTTTGTGCCTAGTGATTCCTCACTGCCAGTGTGTGTGTCTCGGCTGTCAGGAGAGAGAATGACGGTCATGAAGATTCCTGGTCGTGGTTCGAGCTTTGTGATTAGGGACAATTTCAAGTTTGCGGTGTGCCCAAATGGAACCTTTGAGAATGCGTGGGTCGGTAGGACTTGTCTTTTCTTTCACGAGGTGAAACAGGTTCCGGGGAATCCAACTCACAGGCGCACGGTGAGGTTTCAGGAGAAACAGGATCACGATGGTCAACAGGCTCCAGACCTTGAACCGGTGAGGCGCATCGGTAGGCGTCAGGACGAGCAGGAACTAGCCCTGGCTTTTCGTGGTCTTCCCCCCAAATGGAAGAAGTTCATTGAACAGAAGCCACATCTTGAGGCTCTGAAACCAGGTCTTCAGGAGATTTGCAATGGAAGTTGTTGGGTTTTTGTTGAGATCTGTTGCAAACAAGGTTCAGCTTTGGCATCGGAGTGCCACCTCAACGGGTGGACATATTTGGGCGTCAACTCTGAGGTTGACATCACCAAGACAGCGACGATACGTGTGCTTCAGCATGTGCTTAGGGTGACAGGACGTTTGAAGCGCTGTCATCTTATGGTGTGGTGCTCGACACCATGCACTGCGGGTTGTAGGATCAGACATGTTGGGTTTGCCAGTTGGAAGAAACCCAAGGGAGTGACTGAAGCTTGGCGTAGACAGCTTCGGGTTCACAGAGGCATCTGGCGGGCCCTTGAAAAGGTTTTCCAAGGAAATTCAGGTCACGTGTTGCTCGGACAGGAATGGCCGTTGCGATGTGACCTGTGGGAGGAACCAACGTACATGCGAGTCTCAAGGACTTTGGGACTTCTTGGACAAGAAGAAGAAGGGAGAGTCAATCGGTGCTGCCTGGACGGGATCCACAAGGAATGGAGGATTCGGTCAAACCAAGATCAGTTGCTTGCTTTAGTTGATTCCGGTCCGTGCAGCTGCTTTGACAAAACTAGGATCCCTATGAAACAAACTGGGTTCTACTCGAGTGAGGTTGCAAGGCATATCCTCAGATGCGGGGCTGCCTTTTTCAATCGGTAGCTGTGTGTGAGGATTGGCTCAAACTTTGGTGGCGGTTGTCTAGTTTGGTTAGGTTTCCCTGATTTGGTTTGGGATGTTTGAGATGTTTGAAATCCTGATGATGCTCACGTTCATCATGGGTGTCATGACGGGCATCCTTGGAACTGGTATCGTGGTCTGGCGGTGCTTCGGGAGTATTCTGAGCGGCGCTCTGCCGGAGCCGGAGAAGACAGGACGCCTGGGTGACATCCACATAATTCGGGAGCTGAAGAATGGGGTTTATCATCACAGGAATTGCCACCATGTTTCCAGGTCGAGGAAGTCGACCACTGTGATGAGGCCATGTGCGAACTGCGCACATTTTTGGCCGTCGTTCAAGTGATGACCACTTGTGTGCATATTTCATTCAGTTTGACATTTGAGCTCGGAAAAGTCAGAAAGAGACAGATTGCGCAATTCAGACAGACAGACAGAAGAGTTTTCAGACGCTGAAAGAGCAGTTGCAAGCATGTGCGTTTGACTCATGTGCTGCAGAGTGATTTCACGGGCATGTTGCGGTTTTGCTTAGCAAGCAGTGACAGCTGGTTGTGTGACTTTTGTGAGAGCCTTTGGGCTTCAATCTGAAACGTCCTCCCAGTCGCTTTTGGTGGACGTTTGCGGGCGCGGTTTTTCGTGTACTTTGAGAAGGAGAATTTCAAGGAATCAAAGCCTTTGAGCGTCAAGTTCAAACGTCCTCCCAGTCGCCTTTGGTGGACATTTGTGGGCGTGGTTTTTTCTGCGCTCTGAGAAGGAGAACGTCAAGGGATCAGCAGATTATGCAGCGTTTGCTGAGAACTTGAGACCTGGAATTGTGGCTGTGCTCAGTGAGATCGTAAGCATCTCTGGCAGAGTTCAGCAGTTTTTGGTTTGGCAGTTTTGATGGTGCCAGTTCGAGCCAAGAGGGGGTGTGAAAATTTGTAAACCATGTTTGACATGTCTCTTCACTGGCATTGTGACAACTAGGAGTTCTCACGACAGCGGAGTTGCAGACGGTTTCCAAGTGTTGGCATGTGTTTGAGTTTCCTTGATTGGCTTGACTTGCAGTTGTGCCATTTGACTTTGGTGCTTGTGGACGCATGGGACAGATTGATGACTGTCGCCATTTGTTTGCTCTTGAGGATCGGCACGCATCAACAGACTTCAGGTGGGTCAGGAGTTTAGGCCCTTGGTCCCCTTGTTGCGAAACTTTCACGGCATTGCTGACCTCATGTAGCATCTCGTTTTGTGTTCGGCTGTGCTTCGCTTGCGGTAGTGTACAGATCATTGCGACCACCTCGCGGTGCATGGAAAGAGCCCAATACTGATAAGAATCCTGGATTGAGTTTTGACAGATATCTGTGGATATTGGTTTGCAATTGGAGTACAATATATATATCCTGGTGAGTTGGATTTATATTCGGTTGCAATTTGCATTGTCAGAGGACTTCAGTCTGGACGACATTGTTTGAGGAGTTTGGCAGATATTTGCATATCGGTGGAGCCTGAGATTCCTTGTGGCGGTGTCGAGTTTTTTCAGTTTAGGGTTTAGGGTCCGCCAACACAGTGTGGTGGCGCCCTAGCCAAATGTCGAGAGCGAGTAGCGGAGACCTCAAAGCTTCGAAAGTTTTTCTATATAGGGGAATCCTTGGACGGTAATCCGAAAAGGTCGAGCTTTTTTATGATAAAATGGTCTACGGGCTTGATAAAATGGTCTACGAGGGCTGCCTTGGCTTGATAAAACGGCGATAAAATGGTCTACGGCTTGATAAAATGGTCTACGAGGGCTGCCTTGGCTTGATAAAACGGCGATAAAATGGTCTACGGGCTGATAAAATGGTCTACGAGGGCTGCCTTGGCTTGATAAAACGGCGATAAAATGGTCTACGGGCGATAAAATGGTCTACGAGGGCTGCCTTCGCTTGATAAAACGGCCATTGCTTAATAAAACGGCCATTGGTGGGGGCGATAAAATGGTCTACGGGCTTGATAAAATGGTCTTGGCTTGATAAAACGGCAATAAAATGGTCTACGGGCGATAAAATGGTCTACGGTCTCAAGCCTCTCGATCGAGCCTTTCGAGCCTCTCGAGCCTCTCGATCGGGCCTTTCGAGCCTTTCGAGCCTCTCGAGCCTCTCGATCGAGCCTTTCCCTTTCAAGCCTCTCGAGCCTCTCGATCGGGCCTTTCGAGCCTTTCGAGCCTCTCGAGCCTCTCGATCGAGCCTTTCGAGCCTCGAGCCTCTCGATCGGGCCTTTCGATCTTTTCGAGCCTCTCGATCGTCTGGCCTTTCGAGCCTTTCGAGCCCCTCGAGCCTCTCGATCGAGCCTTTCGAGCCTTTCGATTGGGCCTTTCGAGCCTTCTCGATCCAGCCTTTCAAGCCTCTCAAGCCTCTCGATCGGGCCTTTCGAGCCTTTCGAGCCTCTCGAGCCTCGATCAAGCCTTTCGAGCCTCTCGAGCCTCTCGATCGGGCCTTTCGAGCCTTTCGAGCTCTTGATCGAGCCTTTCGAGCCTTTCGATCGGGCCTTTCAAGCCTTTCCAGTTTTTTCGAGCCTCTCGAGCCTCTTGATCCAGCCTCTTGAGCCTCTCAAGCCTCTCGATCGGGCCTCTCGAGCTTTTCGAGCCTCTCGAGCCTCTTGATCGAGCCTTTCGAGCCTCTCGAGCCTCTCGATCGGGCCTTTCGAGCCTTTCGAGCCTCTCGAGCCTCTCGATCGAGCCTTTCGCCTCTCGATCGGGCCTTTCGAGCCTTTCGAGCCTCTCGAGCCTCTCAATCGAGCCTTTCGAGCCTCTCGGGCCTCTCGAGCCTGTCGAGCCTTTCGAGCCTCTCGAGCCTCTCGAGAGAACGACTATTAGCAATTTAATCGACCGCCTAACTCATTATCGACCTTAGATCGACTGATCGATCGAGTCAACATTAAAATCGACACGCAACCTTACACCTGTGTTGGCGCATATGGCGGCAGCCACTAAAAGTTTAGGGTTTAGGGTTTAGGGTTTAGGGTTTAGGGTTTAGGGTTTAGGGTTTAGGGTTTAGGGTTTGCCCTCGGAAGCGGCGCGCCTCGACCCAGAGGGTCGCGGGGCGGCGCGCCGAGGCGGCTGCTTCAACCCACCCCAATACCGCCCAGAGACAAATCGTTTAGGGTTTAGGGTTTTACTTTGGAGCCCGGCAGGGCGAGTGATACGGGAAGCGCTTGATCGCGCGAAGACATCAAGCCCGCAGCGCAAACGCTTGAAATTCGCATCTTTAGTCTGCGACGG